AAAAATAAATAAATATGTTTAGAGCCTGGTGGGGTAGCCTAGTAGCTAAAGTCCTTGCCTTGCATGCTCCAGGATCACATATGGTTCATATCCTGGCTGTTCACTTCCCTCCCAGTTCCCTGCTTGTGGCCTGGGAAAGCAGTAGACGGGGCCCAATGCCTTGGAATCCAGCACCTGTGTGGGAAACCTGGAAAGGTTTCCTGGCTCCTGGCTTAAGTTCAGCTCAGCTCCAGAAGCTCCGGCCGTTGTGGCTACTTGGGGAGTGAACCAGTAGGTAGAAGATCTTTCTCTCCATCTCTCTATAAATCGGACTTTCCAATTAAAACCAAGTATAAAATACATTGACAAAGTTGTACTTTAAGAATTGCATTATAAGTCTCCAGGATCGGATCCCTGACTCCAGCCACCTTGTGCACATGGTGAGCTGTGCCCGCACCTGCCTGGGCTCCCAGGGCTGCTCCCTTTGGGGTGAGTACATTGAGGGGGGAAGTCTCAGGTGCCCGAGCAGGCCAGGGACTCACCCACTGCCATCATTGGGCACGAGATGGGATTGCGGAGGGGCGCGACCTTGGACTTGGGGACTGAAACTTCCAGCAGCCAGCTGCCTGATGGTGGGTCCCAGGCCAGAGCATCTCCATGCTCGGATCCCTGACTGTAGGCACCATGTGCATGTGGTGAGCTGTGCCCAGGTGGCCAGCACCATTTGGTGTCAGGCTCTGCCTGCTTGCCTCCTGATGGCTTGCTCTGAGGTTTTGGTTCTTTGAACCACTACTTATGTTGCTCCATGGTGAACCCTCTGTGCTTCTGGGATGTGAATCAATCCTAAACATTCCCAATGACAGAGTTACTTTTTCTTTGAAGAACTTGTAACCACTAAACAATGCTGATCACCAAACACCAGTCCATGCAAACCTAAGACTCCAGCCTTGTCTAGCACGATCGTATCCTATTAACAACATGATAGTGGGTCAGGAGATGGGTCACATTAGGCAAGGCCATGACATTAACCAGCATGAAAGAGAACCATATCAGGGGTAGATTCTGTCGGGGATGTGAGGGCCAAACCCCGTGGAAATACTAGCTCCACTGGTTACCTCAAGAGTAGGGATGGTGATGGACTAAATTAGGTGTGACCAAGGAGCCTGCTGACAATCACAGGTTAATGAACTGACAACAGTCTGGACTGGCCAAGGCAGCAGCACCCAAATGTGCATCTTGAATAGGGTGTGGGGTGGGCCAGGATGCAACATTCACCAGCTCATACAAGGCGGCCAAATGGAAGGCCAGGCTGGCTCATGGACCCACTGGTATGTGCGAAATCTGGCATTGGGAGAAGTTTTGAGGAGGAGCCCAAGCAACTCCTCTGGCAGGACTCAGACCCAGCAGGTAAGGGCAAGAAACATGCATGATAGGAAACAGCCAAGAACAGGCCATGGAAAGTGTCGCACTGGCATACATTTGGCATGGGTCGGGGGCAGACCAGGCTGAATCAATTCACTTCATCCACTGGCAAATCTGAGCACCAGAACAGAGTGTGGTCAGGTGAGGTTCACTTGCAAAAAAAAAAAAGCCAGTGGACATTACGGAATGCCAAGGTGAGGTTGCCTGTACAGGATCTGACCGCAGCGCCCAACCAGCACATGTGAGAACCAGGAAGGGAGACGGCAGAACTGGCAGGGAGAACATAGGGGGCTCCCCTGCTGGAAAGCTACTCCCACTGGAGAGCGTGCTCTGGGATGGGGGCAGACCAGACTAGGCAGGGCTACAACACCTGTGCGCCTCATGTGGACCAGATCAGGAAAAAGCCAGGCTGGGCTGATGGCTCCTCATGGCGCAAAAAAAAATATTAGAGTGTGTGAGGGTTGTTTGAGCTTAGCCAAGCATCAGCTGACAGAAGGCGGTGCTGGAGGCTAATTCTGTCAAGTTAAACCACAGAACCACCGGGAGAGTGCATAATCGGGTGTGGGAGTAGCCTGGGAGGGAAACAGTGGGCTTCTCCCTCTTGGGTTACCACTCCTACTGGAGGGCATGAAAACCAGGGCAGAGGCTGGGGTGGCTTGACAGAGAGGCACCCAACAACATCCATGAGGACTGCATAGTAGAGTTGGTTAGAGGGAACTGGGCTTTAATACCCATTGACATGTAGGAGAGCCAAATGGGATTGGGGATAGACTGGACTAGTTTGCCACACAGACTGGCAAACCAGGGTAGGGGGCGGGCCTGCTGGGGGTTATTATGGGTTGCTCCAACTAGGCTGATCCCACTGGTTTATGTTAGGGCTGAGTGTGTGCTGCGCAGAATCAGGCTGGAGTGCAACACCCATTGGTTCCAGCGGAAGACAGGAATGGAAACACAACCAACCCAGCAATTGCAACAACCAGCTGATCACGGAGATGGACTGTGCTGTGCCCTGCACTTGGTAGAAGATACAAGAATCTGGTCTGGGAACACATCAGACAAAGTTTCTTCAGGGATCCTCCCAGTTGAACTGCCAGAGTCAGAACCTTAGCCATGAAAGACAGAGGACAGAACAAGTTAATCAACTACCTCAGCCATATGTTGGCAGTGAAAAACTGGGCAAACCAAGCATCTATGATGGACTATGTCAATCAGTGGATTCTTCAATGACCTCATCATGCTTGGAGTGGTGAGACTGACAACAATTCAGAACTGTTGAACTATCAAAACCACTTGAGCAAGACCCTCAGAGCATGCCCCACGTAAGGGACCTGCGATGGGTGGGAGACTGGTTGGGGCTTCTCCTGTAAAATCCCCCTTTACCTCAGACATGTAAAGGAAACAATATGGAAATAATAGTCTTACCCATTTTCCTGTAGCCGTTCAACCTTTTTACCCTAATTACTTATGTAAAGATTGTCAAAAATATAATTTAAAAATGGAAAAGAAAAAGAGAAGCAATAGCATTAGCAGCCAATTTGTAGTTACCAAGATTTCTCTCCTATTCACACATCACTGCACATTCAGTGTGGGCTGGTTTTAGGAATTGCGTGCCCAACACTAAACTTAGTTGTGACACTGAAAAAGTCATTAAGTGTCACTGAGTGGTAGAGTTACAGGACAATCTCATTTAGTCTGTGCATCAGTTGCAAAGTAAATAACTTTGTATTACACTACAGTATGACTGTCAACTTAAATACCACCTGCTGGGTGTGACAAACAGCCCACCTACCAGAAACCTGAGGCATGGCTTGCACTTGTGTGCAGAATATGACCTGTGACAAGACTGGAGGGTTTAAAGGGATACACATGCCTTAGAGTCAATTACAGTGTCACTGCTGGGTGGCAGGCCTGTCAGGCACTGCCCTGCTCCCATCTTCTTTCCTAACCCATAACAGTTGTGCTCATTTCACAATAAATGGACATGCCCTCAAACTGTCCACACTGGGTCTTGCAGCTGGAGGATACTGACACCTCACCCCTTCAGTTGGCACCTTGGGGCCATCTGGCTGGACCTCCCGAATAGGCTCAAAAGCAATAAAAACAGATTCCAAAATGGACAAAGAACTGAACACATATTTCTACAAAGATCAACAAAGCCCTAAGTAGCACAAGAAGATTCTCAGCATGATTCATCATTAGGTGAATGAAAATGGCAACCACAATGAGATACCACTTGATACCCATTGCAATGTCCTTCATTCAAAAATGTTCACAGAGAAATGCAAATCAGGTATTGCTGCTTGAAGTGTAAAATGATGAAACTAATATTACAAATGGTACTCAAGGACTGCCTATGGTTGTAACCGTCTCCAAACTTTGGAACCAGTACAGGTTCATGTGGAAGAAGCAGGGAGCATGTCATTGTTTTCATGGTCTGCCCGATTCCTCTGAACCAAGTCAGTATCTGTGGACTGAACTGTGGCCTGGTGGGCTGAGCTTACCATACAGGTATAGTTCATGTCCTATGTATTCCACTTCTAATCCGGTCTCCTGCTTTTGCCCTTGGAAACCAATGGAGGACGGCTCAAGTCCTTGAGCACCTGCACCCATGTGGCAGATTCAATAGAGGCTCCTGGCTTTGGATTGCCTTAGCTCTTGCCATTACAACCAAGTGGAGAAACTTTGCATTTGAAATGAAAACCAAACAGAATGAACAGGGACCAAGTCCCATGGTTCAGCAAATAAAGAGAATGGCATCTCTCATGTACACTGGTACTTATCCTGGATGCTCCACTTCTGACCAAATTCCCTGATGACAGGCCTGCAAAGCAAGTGGAGCATGGCTCAAGCATTTGGGTTCCTGTAATCAAGTAGCAGACATGGACAGTACTCCTGGCTCATGGCTTCAGACTTGCTCATCTTTGCACATTCTGGTGATTTGACAAGCAAACCAGCACATGGGAGATGTCTCTCCACCTCTTTTTTTCTGTGCAGACCTGCCTTTCATATTAATAAATCTTAAAGACAAAACAAACAAAAAGAAACCATGCAATAGCAAAACCATTCTTCAGTAGAACATGCCATTGTGGCAAAGCAGTCTAAGCTACCACCTACGTCACTTCCAATCCAGCTCTAAGTCAATGTAAATTCAAAGCAGTGGAAGATGACTCAAGCACTTGGGTGGGAGACTCATCTGGAAGACTCAGAAGAACTATCTTATTCCTCTGTGATATGGTCCAGCCCTGACCACTGTGACCACTGGGAGAATCAATCAGCAGTGAGCAGACATTTCTCTCTCCTCTCTTTCTGCAAGTCAGTCTTTAAATAAATGAATAAAATGATCAGTAAACACCATTTCAAACTTGATATCCTACAGTCATTAACAAATTCTTAGTTTCCATTTCAATCATGCAATAATAATAACCACGTCCTGGCTATGGCATCAGAAAGTTTCAACAGGTTTTGACAGCTCTAATTTCTTCTTTATGAAAGTTTTGCCTTCTTTCTCTTATACTTGCCTCTTCATTTTAGTTTAAAAACCACCATAAAGTTGTTATGATACAATGTAAAACAAGGTGAGAAGTAAACAAGCAACTTACTGAAGGTGTGTGTGTGTTCTCCAGCCTTGGAAGCATGAGCGGGCTGCAGGGCTACACCTGCAAGAGAAGGTGGGCAGAGGGACTGATGAGTTTTTCTTGCTTGTGCCCAGTCTCCCTACTGATTCCTGCTGTGCTAAGTAATGTCAAGGCAGGAAGCAGACACAATGGCTGGAGGAACAAAAGCAATCAGCTTCCATGGGCAAGAGTAGTGCTTTACAAGTACAATGAAGGCTTCCTGGAAGCAGTATCAGCAATTTCAATAATTGGCACTGATTAAACTAAAACAAACTCAAGGAAACAGCAGTTACTTTTTATTTAAAAATGTTACCAGGCACAGCACCATTGCCTAGTGGCTAAAGTTTTCACCTTTTTGAATGAGGGTTGTCATTGAGATACAATAGCTTGAGCCACTACTGGTAGTGCTGGCATCCTGGTATCAGCACCAGTTTCTGTACAAGCCATTCTGCTTCTGGTCAGTGTATAAAAATACACCTGACATGGCAGGGAATGAAGCCAGGAATTGGGCTCTGGTACCTACACGGGAGACCTGGCCAACCTGGAATGAAAATCCAGGGTCATGGTGGGAGTGACCTGGCAAATGTAGGGTCTTTTTATCCTTTCCACTCTCATGACTGCTTGCATACTCTGAACTTGCATGTCTCTATTTGCCACACAAGTAGGACACACTAGGCAAAACAAAATTAAACTCAGTGATATGCATCCCATTAATGACCCTCATTATGTATATGCTTCAGAGGCACTGACTGTATTAACATAACATGTTTTATTCTTACAAGTACAATATAAATTCTCTTTTTAATCTTGTAAATGTTAACCCAACCTCACTAAATGGGCAACACAGCTTCCTTGTTGACAAATACACTTATCATGTACTTCAAAATCTGAGTAGTACAATTGCTTATCAAAAGCAGAAATCCTACATTGATTTATTTTTTGTGCGGCCATGGTATTAGGCTTACGCTTTTTGAAATGCATCATTCTATCTTTCATGTAGTCCCAAGTGCTACTTTCCAGGAACTGTGATTAAAAGTAGATACAGACATGGGAAGACATCGCTTACATTGACTGTTGAGTAGGATTGCTATGTCTGTCTTTTGCATTGCATATTATCTCAAATTTTAGAATGTATATTTTAAAAATTACACATGTTGATTAGCATACAGTTAAATTTTATCAATCTTTCTACTTTATGTATTTTGTGGATTATGCAATGATGACCTGCATATGATCATCAAGCATATTCACAATGCTGTATATATGCATACACAGGTGGTCTGGATATGTGTGGGTATGGGTATGCATGAAGCACTGCTGACAGAGATCATATTTAAAATGAAACCATGAGCAATCATAACACTAGTTTCAAGAAGCAAATAAACTTCAAAATGGTTATCAATGCGTCAGGTCACTGGGTCCTTCTAACTGTTATAGACAGAAATGGGTTTCCCTAAATTTCATAGCATGGAGGCTGGATCCCCAATGCGACACTACTTTCAGACAGTACATTCTTTTCTTCTTTTTTCTAAATTTATTTTCATTGCATTGTCACATATATAGAGAGGAGGGAGGATAGAGGAAAGTCTTCCATCTGATGATTCAGTCTCCAGGTGACCACAATGGCTGGCAATGAGCCCATCTAAAGCCAGGAGTCCGGAGCCTCCTGGGGCAGGTCCCGAGGCATCGGGCCATTCTTGACTGCTTTCCCAAGCCACAAGCTGGGAGCTAGATGGGAAGCACGGCCAGCAAGATTAGAACTGGTGTCCATATAGGATCCTGGCACCTCAAGGCAAGGACCTTAGCCTCTATGCCACCACACTGAGAAAAAGGCAGTACATTTTATTCTTAAATACTTTACTTTTTCATTACAAAGTCAGACATAAGAGAGGAAGATCTTCCGTCCATTGATTCACTCCCCAAACAAACACAATGGCTGGAGAAGAGCTAATCTAAAGCAAGTAGCCTGGATTCTCTTCTGGGTCTCCCACAAGTCCAGAGTCCCAAGCCCTGTCATTGACTGCTTGCCCAAACCACAAGCAGAGAGCTGAATGGAAGTGGGGCAGTCGAAATTAGAATGAACACCCATATGGGATCCCAGCGGGTACAAAGCAAGGACCTTTGCTACTAGGCTACCGTTGTTGCCCAAGAAACAGCACTTCTAAGAAGGTAATTACTGGGCCTAGCACAGTAGCCTAGTGCCATTAGTCTGCACCTTGCATGTGCTGGGATGAAATATGTACACTGGTTCTTTCCATGGATGCTCCACTTCCCATCCAGCTCCCCGTTAGAGGCCCGGGAAACCAGTCAGGGATGGCAGAAAGACTTGGGATCCTGCACCCATGTAAGGGACCCAGAAGAAACTCCCGGATCCTAGCTTTGGATCAGCTCAAGTCTCACCACTTCATCCACTGCAGAGTGAAACAGTGCATGGGAGATCTTCCTCTGTTTCCCATCGTCTCTGCTTTTAATATTCCAATAAAAATGAATTAAAAAAAATTTAAATGAGGGTGATAAAAGAAACTATAGTCACTGTGAATCCACTTACAACTAATTTCTGTTCCTTTAAGAATACACAGGGACGGGCCCGGTGGTGTGGCCTAGAGGTTAAAGTCCTCACCTTGAATACGCCAGGATCCCATATTGGAGCCAGTCTAATCCTGGCAGCTCCACATCCCATCCAGCTTCCTGCTTGTGGACTGGGAAAGCAGTCAAGGACAGCCCAAAGCCTTGGGACTCTGCACCTGTGAGGAAGACCTGGAAGAATTCCTGTCTCCTGGCTCTGGATTGGAATAGTATCAGCTGTTGTGCTCGCTTGGGGAGTGAATCATTGACGGAAGATCTTTGTACTGTCTCTCCTCCTCTCTGTATATCTGACTTTCCAATAAAAATAAATATATCTTTAAAAATAAAAAGAACACACAGGGACAGAGGAAACACCATGGAGGCTGTGAGTTGGCCAGGGAGTGACCTCAGCAGAAACCAAACCTATTCTCATCTTGCTCTGCAAGTTTCAACCATAAGAATCAAAAGGAATGATAAGACATAGAATGCTGATTATTCCAGCTTGGGAAGAAGGGGTCTGGATACAGGAGGGAGGTGGAACAGGTAGCAAAGAAAGTGAGACAGAAGGAACAAGATCCAGGGTTCCATCCCAGCGTGTGGTGACTACACTGCACAATATGATAAGCTTATGCAGGACACTGGAACGGAGGACCCCATGTGCTGTCTAAACAAAGCCTGGACACCTGGTTAACTCAGCTTATGACATATATGTACTCAAATACTTCACTGAACCTTATGTTAGCATTCAAGTACACGATGATCAAAATTCAGTAGCATTTGTTTAAAATCAGAATCATCCATTGAAAATAAAAGTGAACCTTCTGAAACAATTAAACAGTTCTGATCTACACAGTATAGATTTACTGCCTTTTTAATTCATAATTAAATTTGAAATATTTATTTATTCATTTATATGGGAAATTCAGATTTTCAGAGAGAAGGAGAGACAAAGAGAAACGACCTTATATGAAGTGGTTCACTCCTAAAGTGGCCACAATGGGCAGAACTGAAATGATCTGAAGCCAGGGGTCAGGAGCTTCTTCAGGGTCTTGCATGCAGACGCAGGCTCCCAAGACTTTGGGCTGTCCTCTACTGCTTTCCCAGGTCACAGGCAGGGAGCAGGATAAAAAGTGGAACACCCAGGACATGAACCAGCAAAAATATAGTATCCAAGTTCACACAAGGTAAGGACGTTAGCCACTATGCTATCATGCCAGGCCCTTTTTAATTCTTTCGAAATATCTTATCATTGGCTTCAACGTGAGAATCACAGTACAAGAGACAAACAGAGAAACACTGAGATCTTCCCTCCACTTGTATACTCCCCTATTTCCACAAGAATTAGCAAGGTCCACCCAAAACCAGGAGCCTGGAATTCCACTCAGATCCTCCACAGGGCTGCAGGTTTCCAAGGAACTAGGTCACTTTGTTATCTTCCAAGCACTGTAGCAGGAAGCTAGATCAGACAGGGAACATCAGAGTATAACTGGTCCTTATATGGAACGTTGGCATTGCATGCAGCAATGTAACATGTTATCTTACAACATCCACCCCAAGGATTATTTAAATACTCAAAATCTGTGGTTGACATGGGAGTCTAGCGGCCAAAGTCCTCGCATTCAGAGGGATCCCATATAGGCGCCAGTTCTAATCTTGGCTGCTCCACCTCCCATCCAGCTCCCTGCTTGTGGCCTGGGAAAGCAGTGGAGGACAGCCCAAAACCTTGGCACCCTGCACGCACGTGGGAGACCAGGAAGACACTCCCAGATACTGTCTTCAGATTGGCTGAGCTCAGGCTGTGTTCTAGGCGTTGAGGCCACTTGAGGAGTAAACTAAAAGGCAGAAGATCTTTCTGTATCTGCTTCTCTCTGTATATCAGCCTTTCCAACAAAAATCAATGTTTAAAATAGGGAGATGAGTAAGTAGTGAATAAATAAATAAAAATACACATAAATAAACACAACATTGTAATCAAACCACAGGGTTGCTTTTCTCATTGAACCTCTTGATTCTCCTGTACATGATTCGCAGTGAAATTTCTTGGCATTTTGTACATGCCGCTGCTGGAAAGCTAACCTGGAGCCTAGATAGAGTTACACTGCTTTTGTTCATATGTGCCTATGCACTTGAAAGGAAGAATGACAGCAAACGGATGGTTTGTGCAATGTTTCTTGTGGTTTTGTTTTTCTGATTGCCTTGAACACAGCTGTGGCTGTGTCAGACTGACTCTAGGCCACATCCCCCACCTTGCAGGTCACATGTGGATGGGAGACACTCAAGTACTATGCCACCACCAGCTGCTTCACGGATGCATTAGAAGGAAGCTGTGCTCTACCCAGTGGCTAAAGTCCTCACCTTGTGCACACCCCTGATCCCATATGGTCACTAATTCGTGTCCCGGTGGGCCCCACTTTCCATCCAGCTCCATGCTTGTGGCCTGGGAGAGCAGTGCAGAACGAGGCAATGCCTTGGGACCCTG